TTTCTTATTGCGATAGACCAACAGGAAACACATTGACGGAAACGTTGCCAAAGCCCATCGGGTGGTTTTAACAGGTCTCCTTTTGGCAGAGGGGAAAAATCAGAAGTGGCGAAAGATTGGACTCACAACTGGGGGAAATAAAAGCAGGCCAAAGAAAATCTCGGGCCCTGAACCCGGGACACCTCCCGGCCCGGCCTCGGGCCGGACCTGTCGTGCAGCAGCCGCGGGGCCCCGCCACGGACGGCCCGTCCCATCCCAGGGGGTGACCTGTCGTGTTTCTCTCCGAAGGGAAGCCGCTGCTCTGGAGTCCCTTCATCCAGCGGCCGCTGCACAAGAGGAAAGGGGGCCAGGTCCGCTTCTCCAACGACCAGACCATTGAGCTGGAGAAGAAGTTCGAGACGCAGAAATACCTCTCGCCGCCCGAGAGGAAGCGCCTGGCCAAGATGCTGCAGCTCAGCGAGAGGCAGGTGAGGCCGAGCGCGCCCCGACGGCCCGAGCGCCGCGCAGCGAGGCCGGGGCCGCTGCTGCCGCCGGGACTGCCCAAGACTCGGCTCCGAGCCCACTTTTATTTTATTATTTTTTATTTATTTTTTCCCCTCGTTGTCGTTGCTCAGGTCAAAACGTGGTTTCAGAATCGCAGAGCCAAATGGAGGCGTCTAAAGCAGGTACGGGGATGTTTCCGTTTCTATGGAAATAAGTGTTTTAATTGTCTTATCTTACGCCGTGCTCGCCTATTCTCGGTTGTATGCAGAAGTCATCTGAAAGGCTGTTTAACCTCTTCACCTTGATTAAAAACGCAAATAGTCCTGCTGGAATCCATGAGGGCTCGCTCAGGCAGCACTAATGTTAAAAGCTCCTAATGCGGCTCCTATATCAATTATGGCCGGGCTTCACACACTGCCTATTAAAACTCCACGCTAATTGTTTTGTAAACCCATATGTTGTTTATCCAATTAACGTGGAGAAGATAAGTAATTGTCAGTACATTACTTAGCCGGTTGTCTTAGAGGAGAATATTTACTGCTCTTTTTAGTTGCCCTTTCAGTAAACGCAAAGTCGATTTATTCCACAAAGGTTGAGAGAAGCAGGTGCAAACGCCCTGTTTGCTTTGAGGAGCCCTATGGAAAAAACAGGAGCTTTTACTTTTCGTTGACGAACCGTTACAGTCTACAAGGCTGAGCGCTGGAGTCACGTTTGTCTCTTGCTTTAATTGGAAAATGTGCTTAAGTGGACAATTTTTTTAATGGCCAAAAAGGTCTGATCCTTAAAAAAAAAAAAAAGAAAAAAAGAAAAGAAAAAAAGAAAAAAAAAAAAAGAAGAAGAGAGAACGCAGTGCGGTGCCCTTTGCTGGCGCGTGTGCCCGCAGCCTCCCCGCACGGCCCCGGCCGTGCAGCCGCTGGGATCTCGGCCATTTTAAGTCATTTCCTCCTTTTTAGGCAGTCGCAGCCCCTCTTCCCGGCGCCCCTGGCCCCGTCCCCGTTGGGAAGCAGGAGCAGCGGCTCGGGGCCCTGCGAGGCCGACGTTCCCCGAGCGCTGCCCGCGCGGGGCTGCTCCTGCCTTGGGAAGCCGGGGCTGCTATGCTTTGTTTTTCGATCATATATGCGTTTTAACGGCGAATTTTACTTTGCCACCTTAATTAGACATTTCCCCCATTTATTCTGGGCGACTGATGCACTCGGCCTTCTTCCTTTTGCCGCTGAGTGCAGCTAAAGGAAGATCGGGGCGGGAGGAAGCGGCCCGTCGGTGCGGGCAGAGGCGCCACAAACGTTTTCCTTGCTTGAAACCCCAGCGCGGAGGTTTCCGGGCTGCTCCGGAGTCACTTTTGGCGGGCCCAGCGCGCTGCCCCCGACCTCTCGAGGCGGCCGGTGCCCCAGCAGGTTTCTCTCCCCTTTAATTAACTGCAGGAAAACCCTCAGGCCGCGAAAAAGGAGGAGGCCGAAGGTGCCGACGACGCCGCTGCCCAGCGGCCGGAGAGCTGCCCCAGCCCCGAGAGCAAAGGCCAGGAGGTGCCCCTGGACGGCTCGCAGTTCCCCCCCTCGCCCTCCTCGCACGAGGACCTGGAGTCCGAGCTCTCCGACGACTCCGACCAAGAAGTGGACATTGAAGGTGACAAGGGCTACTACAACAACGCTGCCCACTGACGGCCCTGCGCTGGAGAGCAGACCCTGCCTCGGCTTGCACTTTACCAGGGGCTGGCTTTGGAGAACAGGTCATTGCAGGAGAAAATTCCCACCGTTCCCCCCCCCCAAGAAAAAAGGACAAAGCCAAAAACAGACTCGTTTTATAATAAGCAGAGAAAGAGAGACTTATTTTTCACAAACAGTCCCTTTCTTGTTGTTGTTGTTGTTGTTGGCAGATCTTTAATTTGGTTAAAGGAACTGATCCGTGATTTGTATTTAATTTGTAAGATATATTTGTACATTAATTAATGTTCAGACTGGAATCTAATACTGCCTCTTGCCCATACGCACGGGGGTCTGAATCAGCTGCTGTCAGGGATCAGGCAAAACCCCTTTCTGCCCGTGTGGGAGTGAGTATGGGTTTCAGGACTAAGCCCTTTGTATTTGTATACAAATGTAGTTTAAATAAATTAATTTAAACGCCCTTTCCAAGAAGAGAAATATGTTCCATGAAATACAGAGGGATTTCACGGTCATGATAAGTACCTTATGCCCATGTATTTTTACTTCCCGTGATGCTCTCTAAAAGGACATCCCTCTGTTTTATCAGGCAGTATCTTTGGACAGACTCTTGCCTGGGATGAAGCGCCTGCACCCCCTGGTGCTTCCGCAGATAGTTCCAGGCTCTGCCCCGCAATCTACATGGTCCCACTCGCAAGGAAAAGAAGAAAAGATTTTTTTTCCTCCTTGGAAATCTCTAGTGCTCTTGTTGCCAGATTTCGTATTTGAAGGAAAAAAAAAATAATGCGAGGAGCGATAGGGCCCCATTGTGAGAGGGAAAGGGCCCTGGCTGCGGGGCGGGGGTAGCGCCTCTTGCAGACACCCGGGTACATGCGTTTCACTCTGAAAGCTGGCGGCTTCATAGCCTTCGTGTCTACAGACTCTTTCAGTGCTAAAATCTGCTTTTTAATTTGCGTTGGATTGCGCGTGAAATTATGCGGATCCTGTAAATAAGTGGCGCTTTAGGTCTAGTATCAGGCACAGACCTCAGTACCTTCAGCTCCCGAGCACTCTGCACCCCTCTAAGCCCGGGCACTACTGAAAGTGCTCAGGTACCCTCAGCGTCGCCCCGGGCAGGGAGTCTTCCTCCCAGCAGATTTCAATGTCAAGGAAGGATTTTATGAGGTGAGAAATTGTTATTTTGACTGGCAATGAAGTACGGATCAGACACTGTCCCTAGAGGAGCCCGGCGCTAGGTCCAAGCAGGTTAATGCTTCTAGAAATAGCAGGTCTGTTTTCTGAATAATTGTCAGTTTTCTTATTTTATTTTATTTTATTTTATTTTATTTTATTTTATTTTATTTTATTTTATTTTATTTTATTTTATTTTATTTTATTTTATTTTATTTTATTTTATTTTCAAACAACGTTCGTGATCGGGACCTTAAATCACTCGAATCACCTGAGCAGTTTCGCTGCCCTCTGCTAGTGCGCGCTGGAAAGAGGAAGAGGTGGGAAAGTCGGGAGGTCTCAGCTTCCCCCCTGGTTGCCGCTCTGGGATCCGACCCCCGCCCTGAAGCCCGAGGGGAGCAGGGGAGCCCCCTAACCCCTTCGGTGCGCTGTGCCGAGCTCCTTTGCGCCTCGACAGGAGCACAAAGCACCGGGTCGGGTGGGGAGGGGGAGTCATGGCGGGACTTGGGACGGTCTCCTCCCTGCGCGAGGTTTCTGTCGCGCGTTGCAGCCCGTCAGGGATGGAAACGGCCTCGGTGAGTCCCTGTCGCCCTCCTCTCTCGTCCCTCCTTCCCTACACGGGCGTCTGTCCCGATCGCTGACACTCGTGGGGCAGAGCCGCAGCCCGAGGGTGCGGGACGCCCGGGGGATCGGCGGAGTCCTCTCCAAGGTGAGGTGACTCTGTCACCCCCGCCTACAGCCACCCTGCCCCACCCCTGCACCGCTCCGATGGCCCGGGATCAGGGAGAAAATTCGGCAGAAACCACGCGGGTTTGCCCACGTCGTGTCACAAAACCGACAGCTTGGGCTTGTTGAAGAACTAATATTTTTAACCTTAACTTTTTTTAACTTAAAGCCGCTGCGGACTTTGCAGGGACTCTCCCGGCTGGAGGTGCCTGGAGCGGGGGGGCCCGGAGCTGCCGTCGGGGTCTCTCCTCCTCCGGGAGAGGAGAAAAAGCCGCCGAAACCCTTTACGCCGCTGGGTAAAGCTCCGAGCCCCTTCCGTGCCACCCTCCCTTTCCGTATTTGTTTGCCTGTTGGCTATTTCGTGCCCATCTAGCACGTATGACCTTTACAGCACAACTCCCGTCTTGTTTTCGACTCTCTTTTATCAGGAGATTCAACATGAAAATGGTTATCATTTAGCAGGAAAACAAACAGAAAAGCACATTTTTGTAAGCAAAACGTTAATGATTGGAAGAATTGCACCAATTTCAGCCTGACAGTGTGTGATTAATCCTCCGGGTCAGGTACTTATATTTTTAGTCATTAGGTTCGTCGCCCTTTGATATTCAGAACTCTTTCTAGCCTAATAGGGTATCGACCCGGCTGCCTATGTACTTTGACTCCTTAAACAGCGCGGCTCCCGGCCCGCGGGTGCCCGCCTAGGACGGTGTTTGCGCTCCCGGACACGTTGATGCTCCGTGCCGGGATGTCCAGAGCCTCCTTTATTGCACAATAATAGGAAGTAATAACTTCGGGAGCTTAAATGTCCCCTTTCACCGAGCAGGAGCTGCCTGTGGGAGAAGCAGAGCAAGGCGAGCTTTGCTCCTGACTGGAGTGGACACCTGTAAATTATTTTAGGCCTTCGCTCAAAATGTGCTTGTAGATGGCTCCTCCTGGGAGGACAAAAAAAATCCCTACATGGACATTACTGTGATACAGATTAAGGAGCAGCTTTCCCCCTTTACCGCCTCCCCCACCCCCCAAAAAGAAAAAAAAAGTAAAAAAGATTTAAAGCAGTCTGTCATTTTAGCAGCTGAGTAGTTTTAGAATAAGCAGTGCTCAAAATCTGCATCAAGGGCCCGCCATAGATCAGGGCTTGCTGGTCTTATTTGGATCAACTTCCCATTAATGTTTAACATCTCTTTGGGCTTAATAAGGACAGAGATTTTGTCCAGGACTGTAGGTGACAGCAAGCACTTATAGAAGACCTGCTACTGAGAGTAGAGGGTGCCTCTATCTTAACCTGAGCCATGTGCTCTTTGGCTTTAGACCTCACAAGCATAGGAAACATTCAATTTCTTCAAGAAATAAGGGCATATTTCTAAAACATTTGAGGTAATGCAGTATGTCTCACTAAAACTTGCAAGAACTACGAGAAAGAAACTAACCATGATAACTTGGTTGGTTCATTTTGCAGCTCCAGTGTTTGAGAGCTGTTGACAAACGGGTACTCAAACCATGGATTCTCAAGAAAGTCAAGTTCAGACAATGCTACTGTTGTCACCTGGAGGCATGGCCAGTGAATCACCTGTCCATTTCAACTGAGCTAGTGACTTGACATTTTTTTTTTTTTTTTGTCCTGAAGGTCAGATACCCACCCATATCAGAAAGATATTTTCCAATAGGACTAATTGAAATCTAGATTTTTGTTCAACCAGACAGATACCCACCCATGTCATAACGATACCACAATAAATAGGACCACTGGTGTTCACAGTCAAGCAGAAACACCAGTGGTAAAGGAACACTGAGCTTTGAATTCATGGATATGTTTTATGTAAATGCATCTGTGTGAAAGATGGCCATGAAAATGAATTGGAGTTTCAACTGCCTGAGGGAAAGGGCTCAGAGAGCTAATTCAAGCAAGTTTATTTCAGAACTTAAAACTCCTGACACATCTGTAGGCTTTTCAATTCCTGTAGCAGCATGAATAGAGTAGGTGAGTTACAGTCAGCCAGGCCTGATGATCTGGTAAAACTGAGCAGATGGTGGTAACCTTAGTAGACTTTAAGTAGGTTTTGCTTTTTAAGAAACAGAACCTGACCAAAGACAAGAGAATCTAATGAAAAAGCACTGTTCTCTCCCTCTCTTGTAGTCTAGACAAGGCTTTGGAGGGTTTCCCCACATGTAGAGAAACTTGTATTGATCATTTCCTATGTTATAATTCTCCTTGGCTGCTACAGTGGGACTTCCCACGAGAAATGTGTGTCATTTTTAAAACTATTTTGGCATTGTCTAGACTGGCATAAGAGCTGTATTTTTAACATTGACTTGTCCTATCTACACAGGGTTTCAAAATGTGTTAGATGAGCCATATTAACTAAGATCTTTAAAAAAAGATCATTTTTATCCTCAGTCTAGATACAATCGCAGATAATATTTGTCCTGACAGACACCCACACAAGAGTAGAACAGTTTAAGAATGAGTCAGGTTTGCCCACTACCATGTAATTGTATCTCAATGACTTATTGCGGATATCAGGATAAAGATCACAGGTTGAAAGGGGAAGAGGTAACTTTGCTTTATTCACATCAGTTCTTCCACTTCCTTCTCTTTGTAAGAAGGAAGCCTCTCACCCAGCTATTTAGCACAAAGAGTCAATGAGAGAGCAGCTGAGACCTGTAGCAGACCTAGAGTGTAGAAAGAGCCAATTCTGCAAAAGGAAGGAGGTGTCCCTCTCTAGGGACTTGTTTGATTACAGAGCTGGAGGGACTTTAGTTTTGTCAATGGAGTGGTTGCCTAATGACAAATGGTAGAATTTGGCATAATCAGTTAAAGAAAAGGTGTGCATTAATTTGGTTCGCCTTGACTGTTGGGGGTCAGGAGACATGGTGCCAGACATGCTGCCAGCATTTCTCAGGAACTTTTGCTCTTTTGGGGAGTTCATTTAGCAGGTTCCAGGCTCTTTGGCCAGTAAGGCATTGAGTTAAATTGACTCAAGCAGGACTTGTGGAAGTGTCTGTCATGGTCAATCACAAGAAACATGAGTGGTGGCAACTACTCCTTGGAATGTATTTATGGTTTAATTTAAAAAAATATACTTTCACTTACTCTTGAAGATCTCCAGTTTGCACTGTGGTCATTTATCTCCCTTTTAATCCTTCGGGTGATACTTCTGCCATAGCAAAATACGTGCAGGTGGAAACAAATGGTTTTGATACAAATGAGATTTATGTTACAGTAACTCCAGGTAATGCAATGCTAGGACTCCTTTGGATGCAATGCACAATGAGGGCAGAACACTTAACTTGAAAAATAGCTTAGTTGGAAAATAGCAGAAGTTCTCTACACTTTAGGAAATAAATGCTACACTCTCATAGTCACTGCTGAGGAGAGCAGCTTATATTGATTCATAACTGACCACTCCAAAATGAGATTACTGTTTTGCAATATAACCCTTGGACATAGTTTCTTGACAAAATTCTGATTACTTTTTAAAGCAGCCTACCTTTTAATGGTAATGCTT